TCTTGACATTCAAGCAAGTTTGATGGCTTTTCCAGCTCTGCTCTTCTGTCCCCTGTGGTCAGCCAGGCCAAGTATTCATGGTCACTGTTGGCACTGCTGGCGTTTCAAGGAAACTCTGAGAAGCTGCTGAGTCCCTGTACCCAGGCACATAGCACTGTGGCATCACTCCCCAGCCCCACTCTGTCCTGGACTTTCTTGCATTGAACACAAAGGCTGCTGCTTTCTCTCTCCAGTGCCAGTTGTTTCTCCAAATATGGAGAAATGAGGAAGGAACTTAATGGATAGAGACAGGGCAATAAAACACTGAATGAACTTCAGTGTAGGTAAGTGTAAAGTGATTTTCAGCAGGGACAGGGAGAATGACAATTCTGAATGTTATTCTGATCATCACATATGAAATAATGTGCTCTGACTGATCAGTACCACAGAAATGTGATCCTGGGCTTGTTGAAATTTCCAACTCAGCTGAAAGCAAAATGGAAAACATCATTATGCCACTGATTAAAGCTGTGGTGCATCTGCATGTTGGCTGTTGTGTGCACTTTGCATACATAATCACTTCATTCCAAAAAAGGTAAAGTAAAACTGGAAAGATTCAGAAAAGTGCAATAACGACTGACAGATGCCTGGACAGCTTGCCTAAGGAGACAAACTAAGCAAGCTATGACTATAACCTGAAAAAAAGACAACTAAAATGGGATCATAGATACCTAAAAAGTCAGGAATGACGTTGAAAAGGTGATTGGGGATCAATTGTTCACTGTCTCCTCCACTGCAAGAACCAGGGGAGCTCTAAAGGTAAGGGGCAATTTCAAAAAAAAGAAGGGAAAAGAAGTGCTTCCTTGCACAGTACCTGTCTGAACTCTGAAGCTACTTTGCTACACATTCAAAAGCAAACTGAGTAGACTCCTGGGCCTGGGACAGTGCTGAGCTGGTATCACTCTGTATGACAGCTGATGAGTTGAGGTTCCCAGGAACCATGTACTAAATCTTGGTCACCTCCAGTCCCTGTCTTGGGATCCAGAAGTGGGTATCATCACCTCTAATATGAAGCTGGAGACCCCCCATCATGCAGCAGTAAAAAAGAAGCTCTTCCAGGTTCTGACAGAATTTTTAAAAAGCAGATTTGATTATCAGCAGTATTTTTCAGATAGAAAGCACTAATTTACATTTCTCAGCCCTCCCTCCAGATGGCAATGGACTGGCCAGGTGCCTGTCCTCATCTTTCACCTTCAGTGTGTAAAGGCACAGGCCTGATGTTATTCCCAGACAAGCAGTCTTTCCTCCAAGCAGAAGAGAAACATATTGTTCTTCCAATCTCTTATCCAACCTCATCAGTTTTAGTTGCCCTGCACCACAAAAATACTTCATTTTTATCACTGTAGGCATAATCTTGATGTAACTTAATCTTTTCTCAGAACTTTCAATCTCTTAGATTCCAGGCCAAATGCTACTTAAGCATCATTGTAAAACAGGCCAAACTTTAATATGCCTGGAAAGAGGGAAAAGAGATGGGATAGAAAAAATACCTTAAATAGTTTGAAGTGACTAGTTTTCAGAATACTGTGACTTGAAGGATTTAAGAAAGGATAGCTGAAAGCTGGTGAGAGAAGGATCCTGTGGGTGTAGGGTTACATGTATTTGACTTGAGCTTGGATTTGATTTTTCTTTTAAATGTTGGGGGCCAGGAGAACACGGGCTAATCAATACAAAAATTAAATCCTGTAAATCTGGGCATCTGCTTTTCTGTCAACATCACACAGGCATTTTTAAGTGCGGTGCTCGATGCCCTGTTAGCAAGAGGAACATTCAGTGTATGTTTGGTTTTGCTTGTGGGGTGTTGGAGGTACAAAAGTGGATTGCAGGTGTGGTGGGTTTGGTCGCTCTCCATCCCACAGCAATCTGGATGTGAGTAGGTCCCAGAGTGAGTAGGCAGCAGGGCTCAGACTGGGGCCTTCCTCATTGAGGGGGAAAATTTATAGCTGGGCTTGGCCTGTTTTAAAAGTGCATGCAGTCATCTTAGGTCTGTCAGTGAAAATAGGCCCTAAATGCATACACATTTTTCCTTCATGCATAATGCTGCTTCATAGTTAGGATTATTTAGCTTATCCATTACCTCAGTTGTCTGAGGACACACTGTAAAAAAAAGCTATAGAAAAGGCATTTTAGGCTATGTGAATGACTTCAACATAAGGAAAGCATGACTAAGGGCTGAGAGAATGTGCAATGAAAATTACCCTCTTTAGGCTGAAGAAAATTCCCAGAAAAACAAGGCATGTGGGAAATGCCTGGCTCTTAATGTAGCTGGTTGTACAACGTTTGTGGGCAGAAAGCCAGCCCTCCACAAATGCATTATGTGAGCACTATAGTCTTTGTAAACTTGTAATTTTCAAAAAAACCCACATATTTTGGGGGGTATCTGATAGAAAATACAATCAAAGGACCTTGCTTTTATCTCTTTTGCTCTGCTCTGGAGTCTATCTGGCCAGGCACATGTACTTAATGACTTTACCTAATAAGAATATGGAAAAACCCATGGGTCTGTAAAGTACCCGGATTGTGTCATATTGGTGCATTTCTGCTGCATCCAGAGCCTCCCTGTGGGGTGGGCTTGGGTGGTATTGCCTGGGCGCTCTCTCAAGTAAGTGGTTTTTGAAATTTCACTTCAGCATGCAGCCATAGTTATCACAGTGATGAAAGCTTGCAAATATGATTCCCTTCTTGTCTTTGGAGCTGAGGAAGAGAATAATCTTGTATTGTCAAACCTCCAGTTAGTAATAAAAGCTTTTTTGCAGTGTTGTTTCAGCTAGCTGAGATCCCAGTCCCAGTGTCACAGCTGTGTACTCAAACTCCGATGCTGCTTCATCTCACTTTCCCACTCATTTTTTTCTCATTTGTTTCTGAATTAATTTAGCCCCTGCTTGTGTGCTTTTTAATATTGAAAACAATCCTTTTAACATATCCTTGCTATCATCTCCCAGGCTTCCCGAAGCTGGTCCCTGAGGCACAGCTAGAGCTCTGCCACTTGTCCTTCATTTCTGCTTGCTGCTGGTGTTCTCACTTCAGCATTTTGCAGAAACGAATGAATGAGAGATATGTCTTTACCCTTCTGCTTAAGAATTCTTTCATAATTTCATATAATTTCACAGTGATTCATAATATATTTTTGATGAATGAGCTGTTTCTACAGAAAACCTACAATATCAGGATTCTGTTTCCAACAAGGAGTGAAGAAAGTGCAACTGTTTGGGTTTGGGAGCTTAGTGAATTCCAGACTTTGTGGCTTTTCTTCTACTGTTACATGTATTTTTCCTTAATCAAGACTTAAAAATATTATGTAGTGAGGAAAAGAGAAGCTGCAGGTAGAGGACAAACCTGGCTCTGGTTACTAGGCAGAAGAGCCACGCTCAGTGCAGGCATGTCACCAGCTGCTAGATGTCTGCAACATCAAGGAAAGCAGAATAAAACACATCTTGGCAACGTAACAGAAACAAAATTATGAAAATCAACTGTGGTAAGCACGTACCAATACAAAAATGGATTTGTTGAAGTAAAGGTGCAAGGACTTTTGCCCAGAAAAACACATTAACCTTTTATGGAGGTTGATGTGTCCTTGGGAACTTGGGAGAGTTTCATAACTTGAGAAGGAACAAGAAATGACAATCTGATAACACTTCCTCAAGAATGCATGGCATTCTTCATTATGAGTTTCATGTTCTCCGCGGGATGTGGATGACTCAGGCTACAACATAAAAAATGTATCCAGACCTATGAAGGATTTTGTTGGTTCCCAGTAAGTTGTAGAACCTGTTATATTTCAGCTATATGTAGTATTTTTTTTAATGAATGAGAAGTAGTACAGATGAATGACCTTGGAAATAATTTAATGATAAGCTTAACTGTGCCTAAAATTAAAGTCTGCTTTCTGCTACGTGATGCAAATCCCTGGGATTTCTGTGAGAAGGGAATTTAGTTGAAAAAAATTTGTTAACAAAAGACCAGGTTTTTCTAAAGATAATATTAGTGTGAGTATTTTTAAGCTAAAAAAGCCTTTTCTTTCTATTTGCACCTTTGCAATATATGTGGGAACAGAAGTGGGCTGGGAGAGAAACTGAAACGCTTGCATTTTCTTAGGCTTTTGGTAGGACCAAAGTTTTGGACTTTGTGCTGTGTTCAATTCTGTGTTATTCTTGGTCCCTGTTAGGGTGAAGCTGATGTTAAGCTGGAACAATACAAGGGGGAGTCGGGCGTCTTGTCTTCAGGCTTTTCCCATCCTTATTAAAAAGGATCTGATCCAAAACATGGGATCGCATGCTTGTCGTGTGCTGAGAGTCTCTATCTCTGAAATTCCAGCCAGAATCTACATTTCTGTATGAGACCTATATTTATAAACCCAACCTCAGAAACCCACCAGCTCTGTTGTTCAGAGGAGGTTATTGTGTTGTCCCCTTGGGAACGAGGATTAGCACAGACGTGCCTGCTTGCTCCTCAGCACAGGTGCTTAGTGAAAGAGTAACTGCTTGGAAAGCAGAAAGGAGATCCTTGAAAAGAATTAAGATTGGGCTGATATCCAAGCTGGGAACTGTTCCTGTCCTGTTTGGTTTAGTTCATGCTCATTATATAAATACTGAATGATGGTTGTTTTTGAAGGTGCTGAGCACCTATAGTCTCAATCAATGTGAGTAGGAGTTTTGCATACTCAATGCACATTCCTTGAGGAAAAGGCTTGGCAGAGGATGCTTACTGAGTGCCCTGCTTAATCCTGCTGCTTGCAGGAATCATATCACAAAGGTTTTCTACTGCACATTTCAGTTAGGGTTAGTAGATTCTTCCTTGAAGGGCAGAGATGAAAAGAGGTATGCTTACTTGCCGCATAGCAAAATGGCCCTTGGCTGACTTGGCAATCACAGTTAGATATTTTTTGAATGTTTTGTCCTCCTATTTGTTCAGGGCTGCTAATGTGTTTGTTCTAAATAGCTGCACTTTGTGTCTCCTGGCAGACCATGCAACAGATGAGTGACCACCGCTACGACAAGCTGACAGTGCCTGATGATGCCGCAGCCAACTGCATGTACTTAAACATTCCCAGCAAGGGCCACGTCCTGCTGCACCGAGCCCCTGAGGAGTACCCAGAGAGTGCAAAGGTGAGAGCCATGCTGAGGATGCCTGAGAGACCTCTGGCATCCCCGCCCCACCAGGAGGTCGGTGGGAACTGAAATCGGATGCTTTTCAGAATGGGCTGTTGTATCTCATCATGGAGATAGCACATGGAAAAAGGTGGGAGGCTTGGGCTCTGTTCTCATCTCCACTACTGATGAGACCCGGTATCTTGTGCCTCTGGTGCTCTTTCCACGTAACTGGATATAGCAACAGCTCCCCCCGCTGCAGTGTGATGTGTGTGAATCCCACAGCAAGAAGGCCACGTGCACTGAAAACGTTCATGTTGATTACAAATGATGAGACAGTTTCGCACCTGCTGATAAATCCATGCCAGTTCATTCTGCAAATACTTAAAGGGGAAAAAAAGGGATGTAAAGTGTAATGATTTTCTGTTACTTTTTCTTTTCTAAACAGGTATTTGAAAAACTGAAGGACCACATGCTGATCCCAATAGCCAACACAGAACTGGAGAAAGTAGATGGGTCACTCACCTGTTGTGCTGTGCTTATTAACAAAGCTTCAGAATTATGAGTTTACAGAGTCCCTCCCTTGTAACTGGCAATAATGTTACACACAAGGTAGACGAATCTGTATCCACACTTTTATTGTTTTAATTGACAATCTACTGTACCACTGTGCTACTAACCCTTGTTTACAAATTTATTGCTTTGTGATTTTTTCTTATGTCTTTGCAGATGGTATTTAAGGTGGATGTAGGGTTTGTTGGGGGCATATAACTCTAGAAGTATGTTAGTCCCATGGGCTAGCAAAAGACAATTATAATGGCTAACCCCTAGCTTTAGTGATTTAACATACCTGTGTGAAAATTTTATGAAACCCAGCTAATTCTCAATATTTCAAGCACCTCTGTTGTCTTTACACTATTCCCTTCTGTCTTCTTTTCTCTTACTTCTTTCCTCTGCATATTTTTTTCCTTCCTCAGTTCTCTGCTTTCAGTGGTGCAAGGGGGACTGAAGAAAACTCAGTGGGCTCATGGACTTGGTATCTTGTGTGGTAGGGAAGCTTTCTGCATAGTGGCTGGAACAGTGGGCACTGAACTGTGCTCACTGTCTCGGCCGTATCACATTGCTGCTGCTGGGCAGAGTTGTGGCTGTGGCTGGAATCAGTTTCAGACACCAGGTACCACCTTTGGAAAAAGCTTCCTCCGATGGGAGCGCTGAAGGGCAATGTCTGCCTGGGAAACTTGAATGACAGAAAAAGAGAGTAGCACAGTCACACAAGATGCCTCCTGCAAGATCAGGTCCCAGTTTCCTGCTAATGCCATGATTTTCAATGTGGTGAGAATGGGAGGGGAGTTTTTAAAAAGGCCAGATCCTAGGGAGCCTCCTGACCACAAAAATGAAAGACTGAGATGCTTTTGGAAAAGTTAAACCTACAAAAGAAATTTAAAGGATGGGGGGTTTAAGTCTCTTTGTTTACATCTTAAAATTTATTTCTGTTTCTCCTTTCTGTTTTCTCCTCTCTTAGAGGCCACTTACTAGCAAAATTCAAAAGAAAAGGGTGATAGAAGGAGTTGAAGGACAGCTATTCCTGGATTATGCCCATGAATAAGGGAAGCTATTTTTTCCTGAAAGATTGGCATTTGTACTTTATCTGCCCTTGGGGCAGTTTTCCTTGGAACAATAACCATCTTATTTTTCTTTTAATTGCATGAATATTTACTGTGGTATTCAGTTAAAGCGAATATAATTTTTGTAGCAGATTCCACAACATGTTTACCCACTGAGTCATACTATTTTTTTCACTACCACAAAGTGAAGCACACACCATTGTATTCACATGCTTCTTGTTAAATCATTTGTAAACTAAGGATGGGAGAAATTCCCAAACAGAGGCAGTAGCGGGAACTCTCTAGAGCCTGACAAATAGTCTGAACATGTTATCAATTTCCTAGACATCTCCTCCACCTTTCCTGAACCGCTTGTGACATGTTGCTAAGGTACAGTAGGAAGTGAGTAAGGGGCTCAGGCAACGTGGTCTGTAGGAAAGCAAACAGTGTTAACCAAGCACACACTCGGATATCCTTTGGAAACCTGCGTGCTTTTTTGTGCAGTCATAAGGGAGGAAGCACAAGTACTCATATCCACAGGTACTCTTCAGCATATCTCTCGCTGCATCTCAGTGGCTAATGAAGGGAGAACCTCCTGGCAGCTACCAGGATACATCTGATGCTTTGTGGGTGCACTGTATGTTGTGATGACACAAGGTATCATAAGGGAGAGAGTAAGGATGAGCAAACATATCCTATGGAAAAAGAGAGCATGTCCCAAAGGAAGCCTTCAGCCAGCCAAACAGCAAGTGATTTGTTTGGGGTTTTTTTTATGACTGTGCTGTCCCAAAGGGTTATCCTAATGTTTCCCCTTTGTCTCTTCCATTCCAAAAGGGTTATCCTAATGTTTCCCTTTTGTCTCTTCCATTTCCATGCACCATCATTTTTTTAAGCCTGACCCAGGTGGTCAGGCTCTAAGGATATAAATGTTGCAATGGGGAAATCTTTTTCTGCCTTCCCTTGGTGCTTTTTAAATATCTGATAAAGTATCATGCATTTCAAAATAACATTAAACAGAGATTTTGTGCCAAAAAGTGACCCAGCAGTATTGAACTGTGACCTCCTAGAGGCAAGCTGTACTCTGTTAAAAACCTGTGCAGCCATGGGAGCTGTTATACAAAGCTGAAACAGACCCCCTACCCCAACCTGTCCATGTACCTCCTGGGGCCTGGCCCCTCTCCATGTCCTTCAGTCCCTCTCCCCTTCTCTCACTAGGGAGCCAGAGCATCCAGCTACACTGGGACAGTTTAGGCTGTGGGATTTCTATTTTATTTATCTTTGAATCTTTCTGTGGTGGGTTTTTTTTTCCTTCTACCCTCTCTCACCTTTCACCTGTCTCTTCTTCCTCAGACTCTCATTTCTAGTTTGCTCATCAAGGCACGATGAGCACTTTTCTCTTTTAACCTAGAGTGATTTTGCCTTCTGTTGCCTCAGTTCTCCTTATTTGAGTCTTTTTCTGTACTTCTCCCTCTTCACTGTTCATTCCAAAGTATCCCAACCCATGGTGGATGAACTTGAACTCACTCCCTCCTTGAGTAGGTGCCAGGGGAGAGGAGAAACTAAGGGGTCTGCTTTGGGTCTGAGCAACTTCTTTTGAGCTGGAAGGATGACTGTCAACAGGAGCTGTAGATCCAGAGTGACAAGGGTGACTCCTCTTCTTTAGGGTTACTCCAGAACAGAGAAACATTTGTGGTGGACATTGTTAATACCTTGTGTCCTTGAAAGCAATAGAATGGGTGACAAAGCATTCTCCTAGCTCCCAAGGAGAGGGAAAGGAGGAGTTGGGATCTCAGAGCTGAGAAACATCTGTGTAGACTGAGAGGTTGTTTCTTCATCTATTGCCACTTAGATTTCCTTGGCTTCAGGGCAGCATTTTGGTGTACAGAAAGAGCAAGGAGTGGCTGAGGGACCTGAATTCCTTCGAGTGTTAATTTCAAGTTGTATTCAAACTCTCTAACTTCAGGCACAAAATTTAGGTGCTCTAAAATCACACCTGCTTTCTCTCTGTTGGTCTCAGTAGATATCACAGCCTCCTAACATAGATGCTCTAAATTGCATCTTAGTCCCATGCCAAGTTACCGAAGCTGGTTAGTGGGATCGCCCTCACCTCACTGCTTTTAGTGTTAGTCTTTATTCTGGCATTATAAAGCAAAAACATTACAAGCACTTCAGTTTGTGCATTTGCAGTATGGTACTAAGAACTAAAATCATGCCAAATGCTTCTTGTTCTTGCTGTTTGCTTTTTTTTTTGTTGCCCAAACAAAGAATTAATTTGTGAGGACATTTCTGCAGTGACAAATGTGCATCTTATGGGTGTCCTGTATATTTTGTCACCAGAACATTTCTCAGATGCCTGATATAAATCATCATTCTTGATTAATATAAAAAATAAAATAAAATCCCAAACCAAAAAAGGAGATGAGACACTGAACACTCATAGCTGCCCACATAATACAGTTGATAACAACTGTCAGGATATATGACAGAGCAGGCCAGTACAGAAGTTCTTGTGGTTAATAGCTCAGCAATGGGGCTTGAATTACTCATCAAAGGTTTTTTTCCTTTGAGCAATCAGTTTAGCTCAGTTCAAATGAAAGAGCTACAATGTGCATTATAGGTACTTCACGGATGTTATCTTTGCTAAGAGTTTAGGGAGATCTGTGATATGTGGGCTTCTTTCTTCAACAGAATGTGAATACAGTGTTTCTCTCTGCAATGAAAATGTGAATGCATACTGTACCTTATGAGATAAACTTGAATTCTTCCATTTATGTATTTTTGTGTTTACCATGCTAATATTCAGTTTTAAATAGAATGCCACTGTGTGAAGCTATGCTCTGATTTTTTTGGTGATTTCCATGTGATAGATATAGAGCTCATAGGCACCACTATGTCCAGTTTTGAAAACAAAAAGTCAGTGGACAGAATGCTGTTTGTTCACAGCAAATTGGAGATGAAAGATGGGAAAAAATGAGCTTTTGATTTTATTCAGCTTCTTTTACATTATATCTGTGAAGTCAGAGCCAAATTAATAGAAAACATCAACATTCACATGGAACCATTTGAGGAAAATAATTTACTATTTAAGATTCTCTATTTTTGTTTTTATCAATAAGGAAGCTGAAAAGATAAGCCTGCTTAAAGAATGGTATTTGTTAAGTGGTTGTGAACAAAGTATCAGTGGACCTCATGTATTTTCAGAGAAGTTTTAACTGGACGTGTGATGTAAATTGTATAGAGTTGTATGTGAATCGTGTTAGTCACTGTTTTACATTGTATTGTTCTGCAGTGCACAAATGTGACTACTGAGCACAGAAGCGTTACATTCATTAAACTTAAAATCTTGTTGCAGTATATAGTTCCCCACTTTTTGTGCCAAAAACATCAACACATTCCATAATCTGTTCTAATAGAGGTTTGCACTTTGATTTAATTTTTTTTTGGTGACTCTTGCAGTTTCAATACTATATATCCCCATCACGAAGGAATAAAGTGTCAGTTGTACCGTGCCCCGTGTAGTTTGTGCTTCTTGTTTTGGAACTGAAAGTATATGAATTTAATTTAATACTGTTTCATGCTGTCTTTTTATTATGAAGCTTGTTACATGCCTAGAAATAAAGCCAATTATAGACAGTAGCACTAAAACCTTTAAGCCTGTTAGGAGAAATCTTGACTCTTTTTAGAACAAATCACAATTTTAGACTCCACATTTAAGAACAGTGTATAGAGAGGAGATATTGTCTATGAGTTCTAGATACAGTGGTTGTGACTAAATTTCATTACTGTCCAAGGTAAATAAACAGATGTTAGCATAGTATAGTATGTTTCTCTTTAGTTCCTGTATTTACTCTAAGTTACAAAAGGTGAAATTACAAAGGTTTAGTGGCATTCCAGCTCTGGTTAAATTATTCACATAGCTCGTGTGTCTTTTCTCCCCCACGATGTCCAGAGAGGTGACTGCATTCCAGACGTTTCTTCGTGGTAACATGACAGATGGTCGCATGTTTTGTATCTAAATACTACCTGTTGTGTGCTACAAATAGTGCACGTGGGGCTCCTCTCTGCCTGTACCCCTGTGCTCTAATGCCAGTAGGTTACAATATTAGGATCAAGGATCTCAAGAGATGATGAAGTTACTCCAGCTTCATGGCCGTGTGTGTAAGTGCTCGTGGGCTGTCAGCGCCATCTCATGGCAATCCAGAAGTCCGTTGTTGGAGGCCTTAATATTCTTGCTTCAGCTTTTTAAGAAACCCAAGATAATTTAACAGAGTAGGAATTAACTGTAGCAAAATAATTACATCACTTTCAAACTGCACTGTTTTGCTAGAAATGGGGCCGTAAACAAGCCATAATCTGTTACTCTTTTTGCCAGGGAAGCAGAGACAAGGGAAGAATTCATTAGGGCTGATCTAAACACAGCCTTTGTACTAATTTAACTATATTGTTTAAAAGTATGATTTTTATACTAATATATTTAAATCAGTGCTATGTCTAATGTGGATACATTTAGTGTGGTGCAATTAATATTTGTAAACTACTGCATTTACATGTGTACCCATATCTACAGGGGAGAGTTGGTATCAGTTTACTTGAACTTGTTTCTAAATGGCAATTGTTAAAAACAAAATCTATAAAAGCCACTCCTACTTGCCACATTTAGAAGTTTCTCACAGAATATCCAACCTTTAAAGGCGAAATCATAATAGTAATTTTAAAAAGGAGTGTTATTTGCAAAAATTAGCTGTAGAATGTTACTTCATCAGTCAGAGCACTTGGCTGTATGGATTCACTCCGCATTCTAAGTACTTGCTGCCGAAAAAACATCAGTCACTGTCTCCTGCATCGTAAAATCCAGACATTCTGATGCTCTCAAAAACCTCATCCCCAAAAATTCATGACCTGTAGGTTGACTGCAGTGATTTAGTAGCTGAAAACTTGCCATTAGTTGCTGCAGATATCTATTGAATTTGGGCAGAGCCTTCGATCTGTAACTAAACCAAACTCTCTTTCCCTTCTCTATGCCTGGCAGCTTTCCTCCTCCTCCCTAAGGAATTGTGGGTGTAGAATCCCACAGCTCTCACATGGGCTGGGATGTCCTGCCAGCTCCAAAAACGGGTTGTCCTGAGGCAGAATGGGATGGGAGCACATGAAGCTCCCAGGTAGAGGCCCTGCTCTGCAGTAAGGACAGGCTGCCTGGTGAGGGGTTGAGCAGTGAAGGCAGAGGGGGAAGAAAGACAGGTCTGAAAAAACAGCTGACCTCACAAACTGTGACAGTGTTATAACATTTTCTAGGAGCTTTGTGAACAGCTCTGGGTTGTAAGCAGATTCCAAAATTTATTTGTAAGTTTACTGTAGAAATTTATACTAGATGGACATTACATACACACATACCCATAAAATCAGTGCAATGTCCAAAATCTTCCCAGCTGCCTTGAAAGAAATGACCCATAACTCACTCTACATTGAGGCTCATTTCTGAGTATCGAGTGGCTGTTACCCTCCTGAAATGAGTTTCATGCAGAGAGTAGTCTTCTTCCTGCTGCCTGGACCTTTATATCCTGTTAGGGTTTATTGGCATTAAGTCTGCTAAAATATATTCTATTCTTGTATCTCTAACTGTATGTTCTCTTCCTGATTGATGAAGTTAAGTCATTCCAGTTTGTCTCTTACGTGGCTCAGGAATCAGCAGCCTAACCCTCCAGACATCATGTGGCTTTGAACTGCACCTCTGGCTGAGCAATGTTATTAACAAATACTCTAACTCCAGAATGCATGATAGATGTTTTTATCAGCAGCGTTGTACAGAGCCAACAAAGTCTGCAATAT